ATTTTTAACTCCCACATTGACTGCAATGTTTCAATCTATATCTATATTGATATTATTGTCATAAATAAATATGGCTACAAATATAAATTGTTATATGTGTTTAGTTGCATATTCACACATCTCTCTATATAACTTACTCTTCACTAATTTTTTTGAGAATGTTTGTGTAGCTGCAGCGATGCGTTGATGTATGTAGATATGATCGCTGATGCGTATCTATGTATTATTTAACGTTTCGAATATTGTAACATAACATATTTCAGCTTATTGTAAGAAGAAACGAAAGAAAAATATCACTACGTTACTAACGATAACTTTTGCTTTCGTTCTATCGGATACACTCGAATATTGGATTTGTGTTGTTTCTTTCTGTGTGACGTTTTAAGCCCCCCCCCCCTCCTCCGAAACCAACTTTGCTATTTTTCATCCGATTTGAACCAAAATTTCAGAAAATGTTTGTCTAAGTTAGGATAGATTACGGTTAAAATATCTCTCTCAAATCTCAAAGATATGCACAAGTTCTATTCAATTCATTGGTCAAAAATATCCTTTACGCGGGCAAGGTTTTCAACATGAGGACACTAGCTAAGCAAGTCGACGCGGCTTTTAAATTCTAGAGTGCCCCTAGGGCTAGGTCGTAATATGACCCGATTTTTGAATTTCCCTTTATTTGATTTTTAAAAATACTTTTTCGAAAAATTTTCAAATTCATGGCCAAAGAAAGCGCTAATAAAAATGACTTATCTAAGTTTTTTATTTGAGCAAAATAGAAATTCAAAAATCGGACTCTATTACGACCGAGCCCCATCTATCTTCTATGCAATAAAAAAATTACCACTTTTATATTGCGTCATTATTAAGAAAGGTTTGCCTGCGTAAACGTTATACTCGAAAAAATTGATTTTGAGAAAACGAAAAACAAAATTTTTGATGCAGTAAGTGTGTTGATTCGAAATAAGTCTGCTCATCTACCTAATATTTTCGCACTATTTCTCAAGCTTTATTGATGGCCTGTATACGGATATATCATAATACGGTTAAAAGTGCATATCATGCCTATATTGTGGTCGTGATTCCTTATACGTAGATGTCACTTCATGTCACACACGTTTTATCAATTTTTTGGTTAATTATGGAAATAATATTACATTTATAAATTTTTACCTATTCAAGATGCTTGTTTATATTTTTCCGACTGCTCTGATAATGGAAATGGTTATTGCTTTTGTAAAGGTCTCGAAGAAAAATTTGTCTAGTGTTTTTTTAACCAATCGTACTTTTGAATGTAAAAAGTGGTTTTCTGCTGTACTTTACGTATTGCTTTGCATTGACTTTCATTTTTGATCTTTCATTTTTGATCTTTCATTTTTAGAAGTGGTTGTCAATAAAATTATCTATTTCTAGATATAGTGTACTGCTCAAAAAAACCTTGCAATACTTGCTACAAAAGATCGTGTGTCACGTAAGAGGAGCAAGGCTGCAATTTGTCGTAAAGCTCGGTTATCCAAACTCAAGCAATTAGATTCATCTAGTCCAGCTCGTTCATCATCATCGTCGTCATCTGAATTATCGAATAATATTGAAGAAATGTTCATTAGTTCATTAAATTTGACAACAGCCTTATCATCTTCACACAATACATTACATAACTTATTCATTTCATAAAAAAAAATAATGGCATATGAAAGAAGAAAATAACGCAATAGCCGATAGTGATAAAATGGATTTTTATCAAGTAATCCACCACAGATTTTTATTAGAATTGATGGACAATATCATATGTATTGGATGTAAGGAACAATGAAATGGGAAAATGTATATTAGTAAGAAAGAAGGTATGTATAAATGATTTTGGGTGTGGGTGTAGGTGTGGGTGGATGTGGTCTTAGGTATCAAAACATTCAAACACACGCTCACATACCCACACCCACATTTTTTGCGATAACTCAGCAATTTCTTGGCGAATCATTCTCATCTTCGAAATCGACCGAGATATCAATGAGACAATTCTATGCAAAACGTTTCATGACAATCGGTTCATATTCTCGAGAGTTATCGTGTAAACAGTCGACCGGCCGGACACACTGACCGATTCTATAGTGTACTCACATTTTGAGTACACAAAAATATATTTCAAAAATATTTTTATAACTAATACATGATCTTGAAAATTTAAATCGGAAAATCAAATTAGATTCTCCCAAGTATATTTGAGAACAGACTTCTTAGAAAAAAAGATCATTATTAGGCATTATTTATATATGTATATCAATCAATTTTATATTTTTTAAGTTGGATCGTATTAACCTCCTGGATGCCGACAATTCTTGCGTTCTTAACGAACTTATACAACAATCGAAAAATCACTCTCTCTTACGTTCTATCGTCTTTAATCAGCTGTATATATGTATATATTTTATCGTACATAAAATGTTCACTGCTATAGTCGTATGGATAAACATTTCGTTTCACAGCGGTTTATCGATACGACAGAACAAAAAATAAATTCTTGCGTTCTGCTTGTCTTCAGCCTGAAGACAGCGGTATCCAAGAAGTTAAAAGGATTATCTTCGATAAATTCAAAGTGCCCAAACTTTATCTTATTTTATTTATTTTCAGAGGATATTATATCATCCTCTAAAATAATATAGTCTTAAAATGTTACAAAAGAAGAAATTATGATTCTTTTCTCAAAATTATTTCCAAAGAATCCCGTCAATTTTCTTAACGGATAACAAACATGACCAATTGCGATGAGAAACACATATACGATGCTAGCTTTCAATGATTACCCATACAATAGAAAAGACTCAGCTGATTTTTATCAAAATTCTTTTTAAATTTGAATTTAATTCTTACTCATTACCTAATTTTTAGTAATTTTTTTCTTTTTTCCTCGTTCTAATGCAGAGCCCTGAAGAGGGTATTAATTATTAAATAAAATATAACACGAAACGCGTTGCCGTAAATAATATATGCATTATTTCTTATTAATTTGAATTCAAGCACATTACCAATATTATTTTAAAAATTTATTTCGACTCAATCGATTGCTGGAAAGCAAAAGCTGAGAGTAGCAGATTGATTTTTATTATTAAAAAAGATATAGATTGATCGGTTTTCAATTGATTAATACATCCTCACACGCTCAGATTATTTGTTTAAATTCTCATGATTGTTCAGTGACATTGAAGGAGGAATAATTCTTGGATGTCCTTTCTTCCAACAGAGACAATTTTCCACTTTCTTACCAATTTCAGGTAATGTTCCACAACAAACAAATGGAAAAAGAAATGTAACATAATATCCAAAAAAAACATGTAATTCTTAGTACTTCCTAATGAATCCAGTGAAAGGTTAAGCAGACCACAAAGTTGCAAACTTGTCCATGGAAATTGAAAACCCGAGAAGAGAATGAAGATTGATAATATTTGAATTATCAATTTTCTTTGTTTTCCCCATTGAACAGATTGTCTCAAATTAATTTTTTGTCGTATAAAACGAAAAAAAAAGTCCCAGAGTAGAGATGACAATAATTAATACTGGAATTATTTGATGAATTATTAGATCAAATTTAGAGAGTATGGGATCCAGAAGAAAACAAGGAATGTATCCACCATTGATTGTCGATTGATAATATAAATAATCACAAAATGGGTAAAATATTATTAAACTATAATAAATTAAACTGTGGAGAGGAACAGTTATTAAAGGTAGATAATGCAAAAGAAATCGTTTCCGTGTATTTAATAACAATTGATTATGGAAAATAAGTATATGTCTTTCAACCGTACACCAAGCAAAGACAATCGTTTTTGTTGGAAAGATTCCAAAGCTGAGAAATGACCAAATTTGAGAAAACGGACGTGTGATTTGCGGGGTGTGGATGTGTGGTGGGTGTGGGTGTGGGTGTGCGTGTGAGTATGGGTTTGGGTGCGTATGAAGATAAGAGAGCCACACTGCACACCCACACCCACCCACACTCACAACGACACCGGCATCCACACCCACATCCCTAATTGACTCATGAGACCTGCCAAAATTCAGCGGTGTAATATTTTTCCAAAATAAAAAAAGGTAGGCACGCTAAAGTGTCTCTAATATTTACAGAAACTTGTCAGTGTTATTGGGTATACTTTGCTTGAGAGACAGGTGTGATTCTAAAGATTTCTTCTGAAAAACTTGATTTCTAGAAAACCACGCGAGAAAGAAAAAACTCGAGTTTTTTCCTAAACGACAATCAGTTTATCTTTACGATCTGATTTTTGATTTAGAGCTATATTTGAATTCTCAAAATACCACCAGTAGATAGAGGGCACTTGAAAACACATGTAGAGCAGATAAAATAAAACTGAAAAATNGGCTCTATTACGACCTAGCCACACCTGTCTTCTTTGCAATAAAAAAAAATTACCACTTTTATATTGAGTCATTATTAAGCAAGGCTTGCCCGCGTAAACGGTATACTCGAAAAAATTGATTTTGAGAAAAACGAAAAACAAAGTTTTTTGATGCAGTAAGTGTGTTTATTCGAAAGAAGTCTGCTTATCTACCTAATATTTTCGCACTATTCCTCAAGCTTTATTGATGGCGTGTACGGGGATATATCATAATGCGGTTAGAGGTACATTCATGCCTAAATTGTGGTCATGATTCCTTATATGTAGATGTCACTTCATGTCACACATGTTTTATCAATTTTTTTGTTAATTCAGGAAATAAAATTATATTTATAAATTTTTGCCTATTCAAGATGCTTGTATATATTTTTCTGGGTGCTCTGATAACGGAAATGGTTATTGCTTTTGTAAAGGTCTCGAAGAAAAATTTGTTTAGTGATTTTTTGACCAATCGTATCTCTGAATGTAAATAGTGGCTTTCTGCTCTACTTTATGTATTATTTTGCATTGACTTTCATTTTTGATCTTTCATTTTTAGTAGTGCTTGTCAATAAAATTATCTATTTCTAGATATAGTTTACTGCTAAAAAAAAGCTTGAAATGCCTGCTAAAAAAGGTCGTCAGTCCCATAAGAGGAGCAAGGGTGACATTTGTCGTAAAGCTCGGGTATCCAAACTCAAGCAATTAGATTCGTCTAGTCCAGTTCGTTCATCATCATCGTCGTCATCTGAATCATCAAATAGTATTGAAGAACTGCTTAGTAGTTCATTAAATTTGACAACAGCCTCATCATCTTCGCACAATGCATTACATAACTTATTCACTTCACAACAAAAAATAATGGCATATGAAAGAAGAAAAAATAACGTAATAGCCGATAGTGATGAAATGGATTTTTATCAAGTAATCCACAACAGCTTTTTATTAGAATTAATGGGAAATACCATATGTATTGGATGTAAAGAACAATGGGATGGGAAAATGCATATTAGTAAGAGAGAAGGTACGTATAAATGATTTTGGTGTTGATAGTGGTCTTGTTCGGCTTGTTATAGAAAAATGATTAACTTTCATTTTCTGTTTGCATGTAGGTTTATATTGTTCATTAGCATTTACATGCGAAAAATGTGAACATACAATACAAATTAACACATCTAAGATGATTCCGGACACCGAACATCGTGATATCAATATACGTGTTCAATTAGGTACGTCAGTATCTGATTCAATCAGAGAAAGCTTCTTATCTTGTCCCATTCAGTTCTGATAACGTTATAGCTTCTTTTCTAGGTACACATTTGGCAGGGATTGGCCGTGCTGGTGTAGCTAAAATATTTGGGGCGATGAATTTAGCTCCACCAGTAAAAGAAGATCACTATGAAGAAATTGATAGAAAACTTTTATTACCATGTATCAAAAAATTTCAACATGAATCAATGCAAGCTGCTATTTGTATGTATTTTGTAAAAAAAAACGCAATAATATGATTTTTTCGTTTCGTCATATTCTTATTATCTTTTAGATGAAGCTGTTGATGAGAACGATGGTGATCCAACAGCCTTAACAGTTAGTGGAGATGGAACATGGCAAAGACGTGGCTTCAAAAGTATTCATGGAGTAGCAGCTGTTTTATCGTGCAACACCAGACCGAAAGTACTCGATGTTCAACGTTTATCAAAAAAATGTTTGATATGCACTGGTGCACTGAGTGTGAAAAATAAAGATCCAGATTTATATGACGTAATTATTCATAATCATGACTGTGAATCAAATTATGATGGTTCATCTGGTAAGTTAGGATTTGTCTATCAAAAAACTGAAAATAAATCTATGTTGAACTTTTTTCTAGGAGGTATGGAATCACAAGGTATTCAAGACATATTTAAACGTTCCTTTCCAAAGTATCAAGTCCATACACTCGGTATTTACGAACACAAAAATACTAGAGAAAATATGTTTTATTCATTTTTTAAAATATTACAGGTATATTGGAGACGGAGACTCGTCGGTCATGTGGAATCTTACTCAACATCCTCCGTATCCAGGTATCGAAATTGAAAAGATCGAAGACATCAATCATTGGCCAAAGAAAATGTTATATCGGTTAGAAAAGTTGGCTCAAGAATTAAAAGATACAATGCTAGATCCAGAGAAAAAACGAAAAGGAATTGGTGGTGTTAATCGCTTGACCAAGGGTAAGTAGTAAAGAATTATTGACACTACTTTTTCTCATAAATAGATAATATTTTTTGTTGATTTGTTGTAGAAATGATGATAAAGTTCAAGTTTTACTACGCAAAAGTAATCAATGAATAAAACATATTTTCTCTAGTATTTTTGTGTTCGTAAATACCGAGTGTATGGACTTGATACTTTGGAAAGGAACGTTTAAATATGTNTCCGATCCCCTCTGAGCGAGACATATATACATTATAGTCCCCCCCCCCCCCCCCTCAGAAACCAACTTTTTTATTTTTCATCCGATTTCAACCAAAATTTCAGAGAATGTTAATCTTGGCTAGAATAGATTGTGGTTAAAATATCTCCCGAAATCTGCGAGCCATTCACGAGTTATAGTCAATTCATTGGTCAAAAATACCCTTTACGCGGGCAAGATTTTCAACATGAGGATATGAGCTATCAAGGCGGGGCTGGTTTTTAAGTTGTAGAGCACCCTTAGGGCCAGATCCTCCTAGGGCCCGATTTTTGAATTTTCCTCTGTTTGTTTTTTAAAAACTCGTTTTCGTAAAATTCACGAAATCATGCCCAAAGAGTTGCTACTAAGAAATAAAATATCTAAGGTTTTTATTTCACCAAAAGAGGAATTCAAAAATCGGATCTTGGGAGGATCTAGCCCTACCTATCTACTATGCACTAAAAAAAATCATCACTTATATAGTGAGTTATTATGAAGAAAACTTTGCCCGTGTGAACGGTATGCTCGAAAAAATTGATTTTGAGAAAAACGAAAAACAAAGTTTTTTGATGCAGTAAGTGTCTCTATTCGAAATAAATCTGCTTATCTGCCTAATATTTTCGCACTATTCCTCAAACTTTATTGATGGCATGTATGTGGATACATCATAATACGGTCAGAAGTACATATCATGCCTAACTTATGATCGTGGTTCCTTATACGTAGATGTCACTTCATGTCACACATGTTTTTATCAATTTCCTGGTTAATTCAGGAAATAACATTTTTTTTGAAGCTTTGGACTATTCGAGATGCTTGCGTTTATTTTTCTACATGGTCTGATAAAGCAATTGGTTATTGCTTTTGTAAAGGTCTCGAAGGAAGATTTGGTTGGTGATTTTTCGATCAATCGTACCTCTGAATGTGAAAAGTGGTTTTCTGCTGTACTTTACACATTACTTTGCACTGACTTTCATTTTTAATCTTTTATTTTTAGAACTGGTTGTCAATAAAATTATCTATTTCTAGATATAGTTTACTTCCAAAAAAAAAAGCTTGAAATGCCTACTACAGAAGGTCGTCAATCCCGTAAGAGCAGCAAGACTGCAATTTCTCGTAAAGGTCGGTTATCCAAACTCAAGTAATTAGATTCGTCTAATCTAGCTCGTTCATCATCATCGTCGTCATCTGAATTATCGAATAGTATTGAAGAACTGCTGAGTAGTTCATTAAATTTGACAACAGCCTCATCATCTTCGCACAATACATTACATAACTTATTCATTTCACAACAAAAAATAATGGCATATGAAAGAAGAAAAAATAACGCAATAGCCGATAGTGATGAAATGGATTTTTATCAAGTAATCCACAACAGCTTTTTATTAGAATTGATGGGAAATACCATATGTATTGGATGTAAAGAACAATGGGATGGGAAAATGCATATTAGTAAGAGAGAAGGTACGTATAAATGATTTTGGTGTTGATAGTGGTCTTGTTCGGCTTGTTATAGAAAAATGATTAATTTTTCTTTTCTGTTTGCATCTAGGTTTATATTGTTCATTAGCATTTACATGCAAAAAATGTGAACATACAATACAAATTAACACGTCTAAGATTATTCTGGACACCGAACATCGTGATATCAATATACGTATTCAATTAGGTACGTCAGTATCTGATTCAATCAGAGGAAGCTTGTTATCTTATCTCATTCAGTTCTGATAACGTTATAGCTTCTTTTCTAGGCACACATTTGGCAGGGATTGGTCGTGCTGGTGTAGCTAAAATATTTGGGGTGATGAATTTAGCTCCACCAGTAAAAGAAGATCACTATGAAGAAATCGATAGAAAACTCTTATTACCATGTATCAAAAAATTCCAACATGAATCAATGCAAGCAGCTATTTGTATGTATTTTGTAAAAAAAATGCAATAATATGATCTTTTCCTTTCGTCGTATACTTATTATCTTTTAGATGAAGCTGTTGATGAGAACGATGATGATCCAACAGCCTTAACAGTTAGTGGAGATGGAACATGGCAAAGACGTGGCTTCAAAAGTATTCATGGAGTAGCAGCTGTTTTATCATGCAATACCACACCGAAAGTACTCGATGTTCAACGTTTATCAAAAAAGTGTTTGATATGCACTGGTGCATTGAGTATGAAAAATAAAGATCCAGATTTATATGACGTAATTATTAATAATCATGACTGTGAATCAAATTATGATGGTTCATATGGTAAGTTAGGATTTGTCTATCAAAAAACTGAAAATAAATCTAGGTTAAACTTTGTTCTAGGAGGTATGGAATCACAAGGTATTCAAGAGATATTTAAACGTTTCTTTCTAAAGTATCAAGCCCAGTGCACTCGGTATGTACGAACACAAAAATACTAGATAAAATATGTTTTATTCATTTTTTTAAATATTACAGGTATATTGGAGACGGAGACTCGTCCGTCATGTGGAATCTTACTCAACAATCCTCCGTATCCAGGTATCGATATTGAAAAGATCGAAGACATCAATCATTGGTCAAAGAAAATGTTATATCGGTTGGAAAAATTGAGTCAAGAGTTGAAAGATACAATGCTAGATCCAGAAAAAAAAAAGAAAAAGGAATTGGTGGCATTAATCGCTTGACCAAGGGTAAGCAGTAAAGAGTTATTGACACTACTTTTTTTTCATAAATAGATAATATTTTTTGTTGATTTGTTGTAGAAATGATGATAAAGTTCAAGTTTTACTACGCAAAAATAATCAATGAATATAAAAATGATATGGACATGATGCATAAACGCACGTGGGCAACTTATAAACATAAAGTAAGAGAACATACCATAATACAAAGAGGCAGTCTTCACTGTAATCATACTGATAACCTTTTAGATATCAACAAATCAAGAACCTGACCATGAATGGTGTGGCGATTGGTGCGGCTACAAAAAGTCCTTACTAACAGGTGTTTACAAAATGATTTTTATAACCTTTGTTCTATTTATTCATGTAGTTTGTTCTAACTATTCGTTAAATATTTATGTTTATTTTAAAACAGGCACAAAATATGACCAGCAGAAACACTCTTTACCAAAATATGTTATGGAAGCTATTAAACCTGTATTTGAAGACCTGGCTTCTAGTAAGTTGTTTCTATTCATAATCATTTTTACTCCTTTGTTTATGATGTTTTTTAGAAGAAACTTTACAACATGTACTTAATGGATCCAGTCAAAATGCTAATGAGTCATTTCACTCATTCTTATGGTCCATGGCTCCTAAGAACAGATATTGTAGTGGAACTATTATTGATAGTATGTAAAAGATAGAGTTTTTCGACTAATAGTATTGTTCATTTGATGTTATTCCTTCTTTCTAGTCTGTCTTGGATTGGCTGTTATGATATACAACGACGGTTACTTATCTATCTGGGAAATATTGCACGAACTTTTAGGTATGTTTCAGTTTCTTTTGTTTCTTTTCAAAGATTCTAATTGCAAAGTTTTGTTTTGTAGGTGAAATGGGTCATTTCTCTTATGTTGCTTTTGATTGCATCAATAAACAACGTGTAAGAAAAGTAGCACAATGGAGGAAGAGAAGAGGACAACAAATAGCTGGTGATGAAGATACTGAAAATGATGAAGATAAGAATGATGATACAATTGATGATTATCAGTCTGGTGCATATTGAACTGTGATTTTTACCTCATTTTTATGTATAAATGTTTTTGTAAAAATAAAAACGATGAACGTTACATTTTTCATGTCTACACTGTTGTCGTTACTGATTCTTAGTGGTTAAAACTACTGATAGTAGATTAATCCTTGTTTGTGATACTACATTAGAAAGAAAGTAGGTTTTCACAAAAGCATTGTCCCTATACAATACATAGGGACAGAAAATGAATTGCATACTTGTATAAATGTGTGCATTCAGTTCGATATCATCGAAATCTTTATGAAATTAACTTTTGTGCTACAGACCTGTAAACATTTTCATAACATAGAAGTTGATAAAGGATGTTTCATAATAACTGAGTATACAGTATTAATGATATCTTTCATACTTTTGTTTGATCAATAGAGCTGAAATTTTTATGACATATAGAACTAATCAAGATTTTTTATTTCTGAAACTTTCAGCTCTCTAGCTATGACTAACAGTAAAATACATAAGGTTGCGTACTCGTTTTTTTACTGAAAAAATGGGACAAAAATCTAGTACGCAAACTTATGTATTTCAATTCGATCGATGTATTTTACTGTTAGTCATAGCTAGAGAGCTGAAACTTTCAGAAATAAAAGATCTTGATTAATTCTATATGTCATAAAAATTTCAGCTCTATTGATCAAACAAAAGTATGAAATGTATCATTAACACTGTATTCTCAGTTATTATGAAACACCCGTTATGCCTTTGTAGCACATCCTCACAAAAAGAATTCGTCAGAAAAAAAAGACCAATATACACGTTTTGGCAAAAACAAATTATGCTAGGTTGTAGTTCATCACAAGGGCTATCAGAATATGCATAAATCTCAAAATCGAGTTTTTTTCGAAAATTTGACTTTTCTGAGGGGGGGGGGGTGGCCCTTAAGCTACCATTATATCGATATTTTACCTAAGCAACTAGACTCTTCAGATGGCATTCAAATACATACCCTGCGTATCAATAAAATCAATAAAAAAATGTCTAGTTGATAGTTTTCCACATTTTCAATCGACGTATACATAAATCTAGATTTGACATTAATGAAAATATAATCATAATTTAACTGAGATTCTGTCACGTGTGTGTTTGAATAATTCAATTGAGAAGTTAATCATAAAGAAATTATTCATATGTATGCAATGGTTCAAAGAAAAGCTTTTGTTGAAGCTAATGTTGGAGACGATAGTTCTGCAGTTACAGAAGTAAATGTGTTACCAAAGAAGTCATCATGGTGGCTTTCAGTATTGTTTAAGGATATCAATCGCTGACTCATTTGTTTTAGATTGAAACAGGATCAAACCAACATATATGTTCAGTGCTACGAAATGATCTTCTAATAGAATATTCTACGGAAGCATGAATTGTAATCCACTTACTATGCATATTTTCGTCCTACTTTGAAGAACACTATCAGGTAAAATTGGAATTTTCCTATAGTACACAAACTAATTCAAGTCTTATTTAATGCGAGGGTCAGTCAAAGAATTAAACTCGTATTGTCGGCATCTATTACTAAAAAATTTTCGAATTATTTCACAAATCCTAAAATTTCGTAACATAATTACTATGCGGAGAACAAAAAACAATCTTTGAGAGATTTTAAAATATTAGTATCCAAATAGCAAATTTTTAAAATGATGCATAATACTTTTATTTTTCAGTTCGTAATGAGTAAATATACACACGAAGAATTTCATGTACAGAATTATTGAATATGAGCTGTTTATATAACAATCATTATCGAAATGTTGTAAAACATTCCGTTATGGTATCGGTAAAGGTAAAATCCCTATGCAATTGAAACGAGATCTTCATTTCAATTAAACGTGTCTTTATCTTCTATGTAATACAGAGTTGCACTGATAGTAGCATGTTGCTTCATCGTGTAAACGAAAGAATAAATGAGAGGCAAATTACGGCACACTAGACATTCTTACTTTCATTTCAATGTGATTCGTTTCTATTTCAGCAGCAACGTACTCATTATTTGATTAATAACAAACAGTCATTATAATTGAATAAGTCACAAAAAACAATGTACGTCAAAAGCTAATAATTGTCCTAATCGTTGGGTCTAAGCTAGTACAGTTGTCATGGACGATTTGACTAATATGCTTATGTGAGTTTTCTACAAGAACGAATTAAATATAGAAATGAGCTATATCAACGATGCCCAGAAAGTCTTATATATGGGATGCAAGTTCAAATCAGTTAATACAAGAAAGTCACGTAATCGGTAGTATCATTCCGTGCCTGATGCTCTTTCTGAATGAAAACAATTATCGTTTAACACAATACTAGTTAAATAAGCTTCGTCCTATTGACACACTTACAAGAAATGTAATTTACAGATAATTCCAAGGGGGAAGTGACTGATTTATGATTTTTGTGAGTTATGGTGATTTAAGGTGATTTAAGGTGATTTAAAAATGATTTTAAATCATCTTAAATCAGTTTTTCAAGTGATTTAGCATGATTTAGAGTGATTTAATTTTGATTTAGCGGGTGATTTAAATCAGTTGTTTCCCCCTTGGATAATTCAGTTGTCCTGTGAACCAATAATCAATGAATATGAAAAACAAATTAAAGAAATGATTCGACTAATTCGAAGAATATGCATAAATGGGACAGTCTATTTTCTATCAAAGCCACCTTAGTTCACGTATCATCATTGTTACGCGCTAGTTGGGTAATATATGATGCTGACAAATATTTTTCAGTTGTTAAGTTTTCAATCAGTATCACTACATCATTACCATTGAGAACAAACACACAAAATAACAAGAGTATATTTGTACTGAAGATGTCATCTTACTAAATAGATAATACAACAAATGATGAATTATACGATACACTTCTCCGTATGTAAAAGCAAAGTATGCCACCAAAAATGTTCTAGTAAATGGCACACAGATGTATCAAAGCTGTGAAGACGACATTTGCCACTGACTGTATTCATCAGAGTTTGTGAACAAATCATATCAAAAACATCTCTAACAGTGTGTGAAGCTACCATGATATCGATATTTCATCTCAACTATGAGAATATTAGCACAGTATATTTTTTTCCATAAACTATAAACAGATGGAATTCATCTTATCATATAAACAAATGAAAGGATGGCAGAATATTGGAGAATGCAGTGTCGGATGGTATGTGTGACAAACGCAAAATTGTATGGACACATCAGATTTCAACAGATGAAGGTGTTCGAATATAACAAGGACCATTTTTCACTTTGTTTTAAACCAAGGGATCTGACCACTCGAGCTGTTCAATGATAACGTTTCCTTTATTGAACAGTTTTGTCTTGCTACAAACAATGTTTTCGCTTCTTTCACTAGATCAAATCGATGGTTAAATAAAGTAAAAATCGTAGATAAGAAACATGTATGTGGAGAAGCATTCAAAAATTGTGTGTACAGTATGTGATTACTGTTAAATATAAAACTCCCTGTCTATCGTTGTTTCCATTGTCCACGTGATCTTGAATACATGACCTGTAAAATGATCACCGAAACGGATGATCACGAAAAAACATATATATATATCAACAGAAAGAAAGAGAACAGGAAAGAAACAAGAAGCTCAACTTTATCCGTTTATGCTTGATACGCGTGCTGTGATTTCGATTATTTTTTCTTCCTCATTCATCATAGAGTTAGTTCAAATATTTCTTCATTCGTATAAAAAAGAGAAGGTCGCCTTTTTTTTCTAAATCAGCTACTCTTGTTGGTACACTTTTATAATGTCTAATTACAATCTTAGTGATTTACCTGATTTATTAGCAATCGAATCCACTTCAAATATTTGTAAGCTGAATTTTTTGTTGATATTCTTCATGAACATAAATTTATTTTTTTTCTTGTATTTGATACAGCAAATCGAGAGGGGAAGCAGAAGAAAGAGTCTCCATGCGATCATGGAACAACAATATTTATTGATCCATTTCAATCGTCGCCATCTTCGTCTCGTAGTAGCTCTCCGGCGTTCGTAATGGACCCAGATAGAGTAGATATGCTGTGTGTATTATTTGGGAAAGTTGCATCCGGTCAATGTATGCTGCCGAGTTTATGGAATTTTACAACAGCTTCAACAGAGATCAGTGGCTGGTCATCATATACTTTTCGGATCTTGCGAGACAGGTTGATAGGGTTACTAGTATCCGTTTAAATCTTTTAGCCGAATTTAATAATCAGCCTTCGGTAGTCAATACCGAAGAGCAATGAGTAGTGTTTTTGTTTGCATTGTTTATATCTGTTTTTTTTTTCTTTAATTTTCTTTGTTGTTTATTAGAATTACAGTAGCAGTAGTAGTGATGAATGCTGTTGTTGTTGTGATTGCGAGTGGTGGTGAGGTTATGCATGTGTTAGTTCTATTCGTAGCACTGTTCTTGTTGTTGTATACGATAGACAGTCTATAATTAATAAAAATGTTTTTGGTACAATTTAATTTGAATAATATGCATAAGATAATGAAAACGATTGAACAAGATGATGAGGATGGGTGGTGGGTGGGTGTGTGATATAGAATAATCGCCTGTCCACGACAACGGTTGTTTCTGTCTTGGCCGGACTCTTCAGGTGGAATACTTAACAAGTAACGTTCGTCGGTTCGACTCACTTGACCCTCGACTGTATCAGACAGAAGTATACAAGTCTCATCCATGAACACCCAGTTATAAAACAGCTGATTAAGGGAGAACTTATCACATATGTCGAATTGACTGAATTTTCAGTCTGAAAAATCGAATTGGTTGAAAGTTCAACATTAAAAGCACGAGAATCGAACACTTAGCCAACGTTTTTTATGACATTTCACCTTTCACTCTGACAAAAACAGACGAGAATTTATTTTACTTCATATAACCCTTCCTACACTCGAGAAAAAATTATTTTCTCAAAAAAACCTTTTCTCCCCAGGTCAATGACGCTCGGCAGTAAACGGCCGTTCACCAACTAAATACGTCAAAAAACGGTAACTTTTTACGCTCGTCGTAAACAGCAGCTGTAAACGATGATTTACAGCATATTACGACAACCGTACACAGTAACCGTAAAAGTTCATCGTAACTACTACCGTAACAATACGGTGACTGTATACTTTGGTCGAAAAANCAAAAAAAAATTATCCGTTCTTTATTGAGTCGTTATCAAGAAATCCTTCCCCGCGTAAACGGTATGCTCGAAAAAATTAATTTTGAGAAAAACGAAAAACAAAATTTTTTGATGCAATAAGTGTCTTTATTCGAAACAAGTCTGCTTATCTACCTAGTATTTTCGGACTATTCCTCAAGTTTTATTGGTGGCCTGTATGTGGATGTATCATAATGCGGTTAATAGTACATATCATGCCTAAATTGTGGGCATGATTCCCTATACATAGATGTCACTTCGTGTCACACATGTTTTATTAATTTTCTGGTTATTTCAAGAAATAAAGCTACATTTATAAAATTTTACCTATTCAAGATGCCTACATATATGTTTCTGGATGCTCTGATAACGAAAGTAGTTATTGCTTTTGTAAAGGTCTCGAAGAAAAATTTGCTTGGTGATTTTTCTACCAATCGTACCTCTGAATGTAAAAAGTGGTTTTCTTCTGTACTTTACGTATTGCTTTGCATTGACTTTCATTTTTGATCTTTCATTTTTAGAAGTGGTTCTCAATAAAATTATCTATTTCTAGATATAGTTTACTTCTAAAAAGGCTTAAAATGCCAACTACAAAAGGTCATCAGTCCTATAAGAGCAGCAAGGCTGCACGTTCTCGTAGAGTCCGTTTATCCAAACTCAAGCAATTAGATTCGTCTACTCCAGCTCGTTCATCATCATCATCATCATCATCTGAATCATCGAATATTGTTGAAGAACTATTCATTAATTCATTATATTTGACAACAGCATCATCATCTTCAAACAATACATTATATGACTTATGCACTTCACAACAAAAAATTATGGCGTATGAAAGAAGAAAAAATAATGCAATAGCCGATAGTGATGAAATGGATTTTTATCAAGTAATCCACAACAGCTTTTTATTAGAATTGATGGAAAATACCATATGTATTAGATGTAAAGAACAATGGAAGGGGAAAATGCATATTAGTAAGAGAGAAGGTATGTATACATGATTTTGGTGTTGATAGTGCTCTTGTTCGGGTTGTTGTAGAAAAATGATTCATTTTCATTTTCTTTTTGTATCTAGGTTTATATTGTTCATTAATATTTACATGCGAAAAATGTGAACATACAATACAAATTAACACATCTAGGATTATTCTGGACACCAAACATCGTGATATCAATATACGCGTTCAATTAGGTACGTCAGTATCTGATTCAATCAGAGAAAGCTACTTGTCTTATCCCGTTCAGTTCTGATAAGTTATAGCTTCTTTTCTAGGTGCACATTTGGCAGGAATTGGCCGTGCTGGTGTAGATAAAATATTTGGGGTGATGAATATACCTCCACCAGTAAAAGAAGATCACTATGAAGAAATTGATAGAAGACTTTTATTACCGTGTATCAAACAATTTCAACATCAATCAATGCAAGCTGCTATTTGTATGTATCTTGTAAAAGAACGCAATAATATGATTTTTTTCGTTTCATTGTATGTCTATTATCTTTTAGATGAAGCTGTTGATGTGAACGATGGTGATCCAACAACCTTAACAGTTAGTGGAGATGAAACATGGCAACGACGAGGCTTCAAAAGTCTCCATGGAGTAGCTGCTGTTTTATCGTGTAACACAACACCGAAGGTACTCGATGTTCAACGTTTATCAAAAAAATGTGTGATATGCACTGGTGCATTGAGTGTGAAAAATAAAGATCCAGATTTATATGACGAAATTATAAATAATCATGACTGTGAATCAAATTATGATGGTTCATCTGGTAAGTTAGAATTTGTCTAACAAAAAACTGAAAATAAATCTATGTTGAACTTTTTTCTAGGAGGTATGGAATCGCAAGGTATTCAAGACATATTTAAACGTTCCATTTCAAAATATCAAGTCCAATATACTCGGTATGTACAAACATAAAAATACTAGATAAAATATTTTTTATTCATTTTTTAAAATATAACAGGTATATTGCAGATGGAGACTCGTCGGTCATGTGGAATCTTACTCAACATCCTCCATATCCAGGTATCGAAATTGAAAAGATCGAAGACATCAATCATTGGTCAAAGAGAATATTATATCGGTTGGAAAAGTTGACTCAAGAGTTGAAACATACAATGCTAGATCCAGAAGAAAAACGAAAAGGAATTGGAGGTATTAATCGCTTGACCAAGGGTAAGTAGTAAAGAATTATTGACACTATTTTTTTTTCATAAACAGATATTTTTTGTTGATTTGTTGTAGAAATGATGATAAAGTTCAAGTTTTACTACGCAAAAGTAATCAATGAATATAAAAATGATATAGACATGATGTATAAACGAACGTGGGCAATCTATAAACATAAAGTAAGAGAACATACTAGAATACAAAGAGAAAAATCTTCACTGCAATCATACTGATAACCTTTTAGATATCAACAAATGAAGAACCTGATCATGAATGGTGTGGAGATTGGTGTGGCTACAAAAAGTCCTTACTAACAGGTATCTACAAAATCATTTTTATGACTTTGTTTTTCTTTTTTTTTTCTTATTCACATAGTTTTTTTTAGCTGTTCATTAAATATTTATGTTTATTTTAAAATAGGCACAAAATATGACCATCAGAGACATTCTTTACCAAAATATGTCATGGAAGCTATTAAACCTGTATTTGAAGACCTGGCTTCTAGTAAGTTGTTTCTATTCATGATGACTTTTACTTCTTTGCCTATGATGTTTTTGAGAAGAAACTTTACAACATGTACTTAATGGATCAAGCCAAAATGCCAATGAATCATTTCACTCATTCTTATGGTCCATGGCTCCTAAGAACAGATATTGTAGTGGAACTATTGTTGATAGTATGTAAAAGATAGAGTTTTTCGACTGATATGATAGTTCATCCGATATGTTTTCTTCTTTCTAGTCTGTCTTGGGCTGGCTATTATGATCTATAACGATGGTTACTTGCCTATCGGTGAAATATTACGCGAACTATTAGGTATGTCTCAGATTATTTTTTGTTTCTGTTCAAAGATTCTAATTGCAAACTTTTGTTTCGTAGGTAAAATGGGTCATTATTCTTATGTTGCTTTTGATCGCATAAATAAACAACGTGTAAAAAAAAGAAGCACAATGGAGGAAGAGAAGAGGACAACAAATAGCAGGTGATGAAGACATTGACAACGATGAAGATAAGAATGATGATACAATTGAAGACTATCACTCTGGTGCATATTGAACTGTGATTTTCACCTCATTATTGCCTATAAATGTTTCTGTAAAAATAAAAACGATGAACGTTACTTTTTTTCATGTTTACACTGTCGTTATTACGGATTCTTAGTGGTTAAAACTACTGATAGTAGATTAATCCTTGTTTGTGATACTGCATTAGAAAGAAAGTCGATTTTTAGGGAAACATCATCCCTATACAATGCATAGGGACAGAAAATGAATCTCATACTTGTATAAATGCGTGCATTCAATTCAACATCATTGAAACCTTTATGAAATTAACTTTTGTGTTAGAAAGCTACAAGCATTTTCATACAATTGAAGTTCATAAAAGATATTTCATAATAACTGAGAACACCATGTTAATGATATTTTTCATTCTTTTGTTTGATTGATAGAGCTGAAATTTTTAACATATAGAACTAATCAAGATCTTTTAGTTTTGAAAGTTTCAGCTCTCTAGCTATGACTAACGGTAAAATACATCGACCAAATTGAAATACATAAGTTTTCATACTCAGTTTTTGCCCCATTTTTCGGTAAAAATCGAGTACGAAAGTTTATGTATTTCAATTCGATCGATGTATTTTACCGTTAGTCACAGCTAGAGATCTGAAACTTTCAGAACTAAAAAATCTTGATTAGTTCTATATGTCATAAAAATTTCAGCTCTATCGGTCAAACAAAAGTATAAAAAGTATCATTAACACTGTATTCGCAGTATCCCTCAGTAGCACATCCTCAGAAAAAAAACCAATCTACATGTTTTGGCAAAACAAATTATGCCAGGTTGTAGTTCATCACAAGGGCTATCAGTATATGTATAAATCTTAAAATTGAGTTTTTTTCGA